TAGGGATCAGCACCTGAAGGTGGGGAGGAACTGAGCCAGATACTAGTTTGTACATAATGAGTAGTCTGTTGTAATCTCTTCTAGCTGCTAGGCTGTCCCACTCTAGCTCTTCTAGCAGCTTTAGTCGAGGTGTACGAGCCATAGCACCTGAGACAAGCCGTCCTGCCTGATACTGGACTTGCTCGAGTGTCTTACAGGCTGTGGTACCGATGTTGCTGAACAGGACTGAGGCGTACTCCAGCTTCGTGCGTACAAGGGTGTTGTAGGCAGTTTCCAGCGCTTCACGAGGCAGTTTTCTTTGCAATTTGCTGAGTAGGCCTAGTACCTTGTTTGACTTGCTGGAGACATTTTCAGCGTGTTCTTTCCACCGCAGTGTGTAGTGCATCGTGACTCCTAGATGTGTGTAGGTAGTCACTTCTTCAACCAGTTGGTCGGCTATGTAGATTGGGGGGAGCTTGACTTTGCTTTGGGGAGATCTTATACACATCACTTTACATTTGTCGGGGTGTAGTTGAAGTGCCCAGTCTTTGAAACCAGGTCGCGACAAGGTTCAAGTCTGCGTTGGTTGTGCTGGCAACTTCAGTCGGCAGTACGTCCAGACTTGTAAAGGGATGTGTCATCCGCAAAGCAATTTATACTGGATTTGCAAGGTAAGTCTTTGATGTCGTTTAAATATAACACAAACAAGAGCGGACCAAGGATACTTCCCTGTGGTACCCCAGCTGTTGGGAACCCCCATGAAGACGCTTCCCCGTTGATGACAACGCGTTGTTGACGGTCTGACAAGTAGTCGGAGAACCAGTTAATGAGAGGGCCATGGATACCGTATCGAGATAACTTGTAGATCAGGCCATCGTGCCAAACGGTATCGAAGGCGCGTCTCACGTCCAGGAAGACTGCAGCAGTACAGGCTACGTCAGCGTCATCGATCGATTTAGCCCAGTCATCTATTATCCGGAGAAGTTGGAGTACTGTCCCATCTCCCTTCCTGAATCCAGACTGCTTGGGGTTTAGTAAGGCGTTGTCCGTAAGGAACGCGTAGAGCCTGTTATGCACAAGTCTCTCAAGGATTTTACCGACTGTTGACAGGAGGGCAATAGGCCTGTAGTTGCCTTACAGAAGATCACAACGATGTAGAAAAAAGTAGAATCCGTGTTCAAACGTCTGCTTCGTGCGTAGAGTTCTGTAAACTAGTGTTGCCGGTGCCCTCGTGGATACTAGTAGTTGACGAGGCAACATGCTGCTTGAGACTTTTATGGCCGTTGCTTTACGAAGCAGGTCAGTACCTGAGCCTGGTGGTGGTGCCAAGGAAAACTCTATATCAGAAGCCACTGCCTATCAGTTTCCCATATCGGGGAAAGAGCCAACAAACAAGTTAAGAAACCAACCAAAAGCAGGTGGTGCCCTGTATTTTTGCCAAGAAGGACGACAAACGTTGTAGTAGGGAGTTGTAGTAGGGAGAACGCTTCATTCAGGCCATCATCTAGGTTTGCAAAAGAAAACCAGGGTACCAGAGCATCTGGTGCACGAAACTTCGTAGTGTACAGACAATAATGTACCGTTAACATTCTCCTCTTCTTTCATGACTTCCATCAGAGCGAGAAAGAGCATGATCTAGTGTGCGGTGGAATGCACGTTGTTTCATACAGCCATGTGACGCTTGGGTTTCCTTACACCTGTTCAACCAGTATCAATGCACGAGCTCTACAGAGCTCCAGACACACTGATTTTTCATATCTTTAGACAAGGCGATAACAACAGGATGGCGTCGGATAGATGGCGTCTGTCTATTCTTATGATACTTTCACTCAAACTAGTTGTTAACTTAGAAAGCATAAATGTAGAATGATTATGTACACGTGTACTAACATCTCCATACTACTTCCTACCGGCACTTGAGCTCAAGCTAGAGAGTGCAGCCAACGTCAAGTTCCAATGGTCTCTTGTAACGCCGTTTCTCTTTGTTTTCTAGAATCGCCATGTTGCTCTGGGCCACCTTAAGCCTGTTCGGCTTGGTCGTCGCCGCGAAGAAGAACATCACGTCTGACATCGACTGGGACGGACAGGGATGGGTGGGGACAGACAGGTGGTCTCTTACGGCACCCTCCCCAACCAGAGGTCCCTTCGGCAGGGGTCTGGTTAGCAACACCTTCGGGAGCGACGCTCGGTTGGACGTGGACACGTTGCCGAGCCAAGGCAGTGAACATGGCGGCAGGGTACGCAGACAGTCGCCGTACAGATCATTTGGGGACCGCGTGAACTACCTGACGAGCGCGGAGAAACTCGCCCTGTTGCAGAAACACAACGAACTGAGGGGAAGGGTGCAACCCTACGCCTCCAACATGGAAGAGATGGTAAGTCACTTGTGATTTTGATATTTGTCATGCGCATGCTTTTCTGACAAATTGTGGCGTAGTCCTTGGTTGTTTCGGAAGATGAAATGGTCGACGAAACGCATACTTCTCACCGGTTTGTTAAACCCAGTGAGCGACCAGAACGCACCCGTTTGTCACGTTGTTGTTGCTCCAAACGTGACATAGTTTGTGGCATGCAAGTTTGGCTCTTTGCCTGCGATATTTCCCCTAGAGTAAAACAGGATAAAGGCGATGTCCATGTCCATAAAGTCGCTGTACAAACATAAACGGACATCAGGAGAAATAGCACTCTTAACCAAATCAGATGTTTCGACACGCGGTAGCTAGTGAGGTGCGGCGTCCATATGGGAGGAAGGGCGGAAGGGAGAGACAATGTCGGTAACGCCAGTGACACCTCAACCGGTACCGGTAGTGGACTCATCGCATGTTTATTTGCTTAGATCCTAGAGGCAAATCGTTAAGTCCGTCAGAATATCCTGATTCATTCCAGAGAAAAACTAATTCTAAAGTACGAGACATAATGAGAATTAAGCTGTTCTCCAACTCAAGAAAGTTGAATCACCGGAATTTTCGACCGAATCACTCGGTCTTCATCAGCTTTATGACCCGATTGCTGTGGACACGTGACTTTTACCCACGTGTGACGTCAGCACTGGGTCAAAGTTCGTCGGAAGTCGGTACCGCCCCCGTCCCGGTTGAGCGAAGGTTGGTATGCCCTGATGTAAATGGCTTCCTTTACTCCTCTCGTAATCATGTTCCGTGTCCAGGATGTTCACCTCTTCCAGTGAGACAGTGTGGCCCAGTGATTCAATGTGACTTGGTTGTGATACCTCAGCAGATGTAGAGCTGGGACGCCTATGTTCCAGAAACCTGGTTTGTAATGAACGTTCAGTTTCACCTATGTAAGAGTCCTCTGTTAACGTTAGTCGAACCCTGGCACTTGATGTGATAGATGACCTCACAGTTTTCTTCCCTACCAACGTTAAATCAGATGAACTTTCATACTAATTCTAAAGTAGTTTTTAAGATCCAATTCATTTCAAAAGGACCATTGCGCTACCTTCACATTTAAGGTTCACCTGATGCCGTGTGGCCTGGGTCAGGTAATTTCGCTAAGTTGAGAAAAAAACAAGGTTTTGTGCCAAAGATCACAAAACTGATCCTTAGTCCAGATTTGAACGCCTTCGTGTTTGTCCAAGGAAAGTTCTGGTTCATGTTCACTGCCAAACCACTTGGCATGCAGGGAATTTAGGAGAAACTTTAATGGATAAAACACCTTCAGCATTGATTACGTAAGAGTTGTCCCATAGCGTAACTTTTGACACTGGCATCGTTATTGGTCCTTTACAATCTAGCTCACGTGTTTCGACAATATATCAATATAGTTGCCAAGAAAGTTCGCCAAGAGGCCTGACTTTATGGCCCCGTACTATTTTCAAACGAAAAGTGTGACACGAAAACTGTTTTGAGTTAGCGAGCAAATGATCCCCAAATGGTTCCCAAAGGAACGCTTTTATCCCCGACCGCCGTCTTGTATCTACCTGTCAGTGCTTTCATCTGTTTAACGTCTGAAGCCACAGAGTTGTTTGTGAGAAAGGTGCCTGCTCCTTGCTCCGTCTTGTGAAGTCTGATCTGTTGATTCGGACCACACATGATCTTTTTTCAGCGTAGCGTCGCCTTTTGAAACCAACCATCATTTATCGTATTATCGGAACACGACTTGGCTTTGTAAGTAGAAGAAAAGCCAATTCCATTTTAAGATGTACGGGTTTTTAATCCGGCTTCACACAGCATGACATTAGCTCACCCCGACGAGTCTGCGAGCCCTAGAGGATATTTTAGTCAGCAGTGCAGTCTGTATCCCCTCTCGTCTCCCCGATTTTTCAAGATATAGGCTTATGTTCGCAGAACACCAGGCCGCGTTCAGTGTGATGGAAAACAAAAATACGCTCGGTACTTGCGTCCCGAGAATCGCCACAGATTCACTGTAGAAGATGACGAAAGCAGAGCTGTGTTTTGATGTGCCAGCTGTGATCTCGTGCCGGCAGTGGATAAGACCTTGATCCTGTCGTTGTGTTAACAGCCGCGTGATGATGACATGCTCCAGCCCGTATCAAATCTGACACTGCACTGGCAATGTGAAGTGAGGGAGCCGTTAGAGGGAATTTTAGTGATCCCTTAATACACAATTCTAATGGACAATACTATTAATTAGTCTTTTATCGAAACTTAAAACCCATCTTTATCTTGTACAGCATATATGAAAACATGTTGTTTTGATACAACAGTCGTTAGTCTGTTTCTTATACAACACGAAGCGTTCATGACCATTGCGGCAATACGAAATACAGTATACAAACCCATCTCGAATTATATTTTTAATATTACAAAGAAACGAGAAGAAGCCGAACCATTGTATTAGAGTAGTTTTAAAGCTGTTTGTAATACAAACATGTATATTACCTATTTCATCTGTTCACCTGTACTTAGCCCGATAGGGCATGAATGTACAATAAAGGTTATTATTATTATTATAAAAGTGTCGCCCCCTCCTCTCTTACATCTTGGCGCACACGTGTGAGGATATAGAAACGACAGGCTTTAAACCACTTGACCCGATAAAACGTTAGTCTCAGAAGACGTGGGTATGTTATATCCGTATAGATGTCATTTTTATGCCCTTCAAGAAAAAAGGGTTCACAACTTGAGGTGACATACCTAGTTTGAACACTAACACTACCGTTGAGAACACCCCAGCTGCAAGAACCGCACATCGGTGACCCGATGTCAGATCCCCCATCAGTACCAAAAGGCACGGCGGCTTTAGCTCCATTAGGGACCACCAGGTTTGGTTTACTGAGTCGTTAGGATGAGCTGAACCAGCCATCCCTGGGAGGAACCCTCGTAATTGATGTGATTGGATTGAGACAAAAACTGTACTATAGAGCACAGGTTCCCGGAAACCACCGGCCGTGTGCGGCGTGGCGGGAGCTGGGCTCCTGTGTACATGACTTAACCTGCGATGACAACTGGAAAACATGTGCGGAGGGGTAACAAGTCAACTGCTACCGAAGTTCTTGTACAGCTGGCATATGATGTGTCACACGTTGGAGCAGACATAACTAAACGTTTCCTCCTTCTATTGCTGTTTCTTCTATCCAAAACAAACAAGTTCAAACCTGACGTGCATTGAACGAAAGATAGCTGTATATAGAATGATCATGTTTGCACTGAGGAGTGTCTGATAAGTATACGCCATGTTTTCATAGACACTGGAGGGTATGAATTCTTGAGGTCGCCTACTCTTATGTTCGATCAGTCACTTTTGACCTAGTGCAATTTGATTGCCTCTACCAGGCTTCGGGAGGCGGCCAAATACAGACTCTGAGATAACATGTCAGGGGAGTTGGTCCGCTAGAGAGTCTAGCAGACCAACTCCCCTGCCATGTTATCTCCAACTTCCCTAATTTGATTGCCTTCTGACACCTTACTGACATGACGCTGATGTTCTGACTATACACATTTCTGACATGACGTTGATGTTGTGACCGTACCACACCCGCAGGTTTGGGACGAGAAGCTGGCCATCAGTTCTCAGCAGTGGGCAGACCAGTGTATCTGGGAGCACGGACCGAGCTGGCTCCTGCCGCTGATCGGACAGAACCTGGCGGTCCACACGCGGCTGGACAAACCGCTGGTCGAGCTGGTGCAGATGTGGTACGACGAGCATCACGACTTCACGTACCCGAGCTACTGCAGAGGACCCATGTGCACCCATTACACACAGGTCTGTATTCTTCACCTAACACGCCCCTGATCAACATGGCTGGATGGTTTATGGTAGACCAAGGGCAGCATCGACGTTCTTGACGTTTGTTCTCCGATGCACATTTCTCCACCATTAATTTGTTCCAATATTGACTAACTTTGTCCGTAAAAAATCTTTAAAATCAGAAACAAGAAACAGAAACGCATGGGATATGAAAGTACCGTACATACGCAAAATTTGAATAATGAAACACAGCTTGCCACGCGACATG